AGTCTATGATAACATCATCTCATCATCATCATCAAATGCTGATGATGGCTCTAAGATACTGTTAAGAACAAGTATCCCTAAGAGTGGTATTACTACTGAGTCTAGTAGCTCATGCTTAAGTGGTAATAATATATGAATACATTGCTCTACTAATAGTAGTACTATTCTTCTTGTTGTTGTTGTTGTGGTTAGCTTCGATTGTTGAAGGGCAACAAACATTGAGTGTAGTTGAATGTGATCCTACTGATACAAGGCAACAGTGGCAATGGATACATAAAATACAAATACGTAATAATAATGGGCTTCATCATGTAATACTGGTACTAGTATATTATTATAGGTAATGTTGCTCTTGGACAATGTATTGATGCTGCTGATGGTAATACACCAATACTCTATTTATGTTATGGTGAAGAAGAATATAATATAGGGCAACAGTAATAGAGGGTCGTCTAGTACTACTTATAAGATAGTCTTTATATTCATAAGCTTATAAGCCTTCTCATTATAATATTATGATATCAGGTTTATCTACGATGATGATAGCAATACATTGATGAACACGAAAACATATAAGTGTATGGATATACATACAGAATCAGAATATGATGTTATAGAGTTACCACCATCTATTCAATCGTGTCGTGATATACCTATACAATGGGATCAATATTTACCGTTTGTACCACTAGAAACTAAACTATATGCATCATCACCAGCAGCAGCTACAAAAACAGCCGTTTCTGATGATTGATAATTATGATGATACGAAAGTTGATAGTAGTAGTTACGAATAGATCATTTACTTAACTGTTATCTTCATCATAACATCTCTCTACTACCTCTTGGTTGTTACTCAATATTTGTCAACATTATCATGTCTTGTTATAAGTAGTAATACTCTTATGAACATAGTAGGTAGTGTTGATGCCTACCACCAAAGGGTATGTCAATATACTTATTAAAGGCATCTTATCATAGTAGTTTAATAATCTGCGTAGTTTAAATAATGTCGGCATTCGAGGAGTTTGGCCTTCATCCTTCTATCATATGTGCAGTCGAAGACCTAGATTGGACATTACCTACTCCCGTACAAGCTGAAGCTGTACCTCTAATACTCGGTAATAATGATAATAATAAAACTACTAATATCACTATCATCTTTACCTACTACTAGTATTGTGATGATAGGTGGTGGCGATGTATGTATATGTGCTGAGACTGGTACTGGTAAAACAGCTGCATTTGGTTTGGCATCATTACAGGAGATATATGAACAAAGGAGTAATATTATCATCCTACTACTACTACTATTCATTCGTGGTCATTATAATAATAATACAGATAAGTCATTCGGTGTCCACGATGATGATCATGGTCGTCAGAATACCAAGAATGTTATACCCTCACCTTATTGTATAGTATTGGAACCAACAATACCTTTATGTGAACAGACTTGTAAATGTATGAGGGAATATTCTAAGTAATAGAACATCATCATCATCATTACAGATGAGCAATAAACTCATCATCATTGTGTAGGGATCTAGAACCATCTATTAATATACATTTATATGCCGCTGATGTTAGAGGACCAAAAGGAGTTCAACCTGATATTGTTGTTGGTACACCACAAAAGATAAAGAACTCTGTGATAATGATGCTCAAGTTGCAGTTGTTATCATTATTATTATCAATACTCGTAGATACATAGGGGTCAATTAGATCTATCTAGAGTATTCATATTAATACTTGATGAAGCTGATGATCTTATTAAAAATGATCAAGATAAGATACTTGCTAAACTATGTATACTCCTAGTGCTGTTACCTATCTATTCATGATGTTAACATAGGTGATGACATCAAAACCCATGGTGATCACCTACATGGGCCTACATCGATGATGATGATGAGAGTTCAAGTAGTATTAACAAGTGCTACGTTAGCAAGTGAAGAGGTACAAGATATGATTAAATTACTAACAGTAAATGCTCAATGGGTTGATACTAGAGGGAGTATACTTGGTAATGTTCTACCTGATACTGTACATCATGCGATTTATCGTATACATCCTAATGATGATATTAAGTTAAAGAAGAAAGGTGGTTGTGGTGAATGTAGGAATCCACATGCTCCAGTTCCAACAGGTAATGGCAGGACTATATAAACATACTCATTATTGTCATAATAATAACAACAGCTTCATCATCATAATTAGTATCTCAGATGGTATATATGCATTGGACAATACAATAGGTTTGCCATCTGAAGAGATAAAGCTTAAGAAACCTAAGATTG